TCGAACCCGCGTCACCCAGTGCTGCAGTCAGGAGGTCAATCGCGAGCCTGAATAGCTCAGTGGTAACGTCTCTGACTGCAGCACTGGGTGACGCGGGTTCGAATCTCAGAAGGAACATGAGTTCTTTCAAGGTTACAGATACGCCTTGCTGACTGGTGAGTGCCAACTAGCACGAAACCTAGGTCAACCAAGGCTTCCTGTGGCCACTTTCCCCCAACCATCTAATACCATCAAATCAATGTGTACCGTGATGGCGAGCTAGCTAGAATGGTGTTCACATTACAACCTGACTGATAGAATTCAGTGTGTACCAAAGAAAGGACTAGACACGTCACACTAGTTACTAGTGTCAAATCGAAATTATTTCTCAGTATTTGTCTTTCTAATACTTTATTTAAATTTATCAAGAGGACTAACTGTTTCAACATTTATAACTGTAATAATTTCGCAGATGGTGACTAGCAGTAGAATCTAGGATCACTATTTAGCCCCATTAAAGACTCGTCATCTGGATGTACCCGCATTCCCAAGTAGGTGGTGGTGTTCCCAGTGATGCTCTAACCCAGTACTCATAGTTTTAAACTCCAATGTTAACTACTAGATCACTTGGCCCATGACACAGCTACCACCTCAGCAACGAGTGCCAGGTATCATTTTCCTATTAATTCCATTTTTATCTTCCTGTTGATAAGTTAGACCGAAATGTTCGGCTTCTGATGAGTCTGAAATGGGATAAAATGCGCATCGTGGATTCTGCTGCTAGTCACTAACGTACAAATTAATTCAAATTAATCCTGAGATATCGTTGAAACGTTCCCACGAGGAGCCAACATATCAATACAGGACAAGAATTTCGGTCCAATATATATATATATATATATATATATATATATGCGGTTCAATATTCGATATAGCATACGAAAAAAGCCACAATTTCAAACCACAACAAATCACACCTTATGGCTTAAAAAATTAGTATATTTCCTTCCAAACATGTCTGCACAAATTCCCCGACACGTATCTAAAAGGTTTTTATCCAATTGTAATACCGTAGAAATTGTTTCATAAATGGTTTTATTATCTAACGACAAAGGCTTATTTCCCTAGTGCAGTGTAATTCACCTGCGTTACATTATTACTAAGGTTTTTATACCTGACTTCATTCTAGTATTGATTTCTTCTCATTATAACTAAACGATGCGTATTCACTTCGAAATGCTGAGTCATTCAACCAGATCTCTTTGTTCTCGAAAAATATCACTTCGACATAGTCTGAAAGCATATAGTTGAACGAATTAAATAATAATGTAGGGGGAGAGGACAAGAGACTTCGTTACGGAACGTTCACATTTGCAATTTAGTATACACATATAGGGAAATTATGTACACCTTATCTGGAAATCATCATTCTCATAGATCTTCCGTGCAGTACTGCTTTTATCCTTAATATTGTGTTTAGTTGTCTTCTTTTCGTGTCTCATACGTTTTACTGAAACGCTGGTTCATTTGCTCTATTTTATTTGACGTCAAATCTATCTCTCTGCTATTTGATATTTGTATGACGATCAACGTCTCTTCATATTATTATTATTACTGTTCCCTTGGGTTCCTAGTGGAACATAGGGCTTCAACTACACGTCTCCACTTGCCACTTCTGTCTTCCTTCTGCTGTAATTTTCACCTGCATCCATGTTAGTCCACACTGTCTGTTTCAACTCCTCTTCACACGATCTCCTCCATGTCACCCGCCCATGGACGTTCCACTCGCCGCTTCCCTTTCGGCCTGGTTCCACTCAAGCAATGGCCTGACTCACGCGCCATGTCACCCAGCGGCCTCCTCAGCGAGCCAGTGTCCAATCCATTGACCTCCACTTTCTCGTACATATTTGTTGGTTGGCGATTGGTTCATGTTTTGTTTGTTTGTTTGTCCCAAGTCATAGTTTCTTGTTGGTGATTCTTTCCGGCCTCCCGGCCCGGCCATCTGATCTTCAGTATAGATCCAGAAAAGACAGTTGTTGATAAAGGTAACGTCTGCAACAGGCTGTTGGAAATATTCTTTGTGACCCACTCGCCAAGTTTCTGATCCGATCCGTATAGAAGAACTGACTGACTTGACGTTTGTATTGAAAATCCGACCGATGGTGATTGGCGCTAGATCTTACTGCTGTTGTTGTTGGTAGGTTGGTTATTTTCATAACCTCGGTTTTGTCTATGTTCACCTGGAGTCCTGTCTTCACCGTCTGCTTCATTTTGTTGGTTTTCGCCTGCAAGTCTTCGATTTTGTGTGACTTCAAACATAAATCATTCACTCGCGAAATCCAGGTCCTCTAGGTTCTTCACGTCGGTCCAGGATATCCCTGTCTAACGCATATATATATATATATATATATATACAATTCTCTGACCATCATGGACACAGAACTGTAGAATCTGGTGAAGTTATAGGGAAGAATGCAGTTTGTTCACTAATCTGCCTTCTGAAATTTATAATTGACATCTATTGTATTTTCCTTTTCATAGTATGGCAACTTTAACTGATACACGTTTAGTCTGCTTTCAAACGTTGATTAACCTATCTGTTAGAGTTCATTTTATTATGTCTTTTGGTTCGATTATGACTTGATTGTTTCCCCACGTCACACTTGAACTGTTACTGTTAATTGGTTGAAGGAATTCATGACAAGCTGACATCAGTTAGAAAACCATTGGAAAACCCGCAAGGAGTACTGGACAGCTGTTTCGTCATAGTTCGGGATTCTTCAATATGATGCACCCACTGAAGTTCGAATCCAGGACTTTCTGGTTACAAGGCGAGCTCATACACCATTAAGCCACTGGGTTCTCGGTTCGAACCCTGGCGGTGGGTGCGTACTGATGAAGAGTCCCAAACTAGGATGAAACCGCTGTCTAGTACTCCCAGGTTTTCCAATGGTTCTCTGAATGATGTCAGCTCATGATGAAATCTCCCAACGGATCAAACAAAATCCCTAGAAAAGCAAAACTTGAAAATATTACTGTTAATCTTCATTTCTTTTCTAACGATAACGAAAATCCCCTTGTATTAGGGAAGAACGAGGATTACACCCTGACTACGTTGGTCGACTTTGCTATTCTGCTGGCTTGAAGTACTTTTTCTAGTGGTTTTCTTCAGTGATAAAATAACTAAATCAAGATACTTAATGGGTATAACAATTAGAGTTTACATGTGAACAAAGTGAAGATCTAACCCCTCTGAACTCCCGTTTAAGTGTTCTACTCATTGAGTAACTGGACTTAGCCACTGAACCTTACTCAAATAATCAAGTGTTGGTTTGCAGGGATTTGGCTTTTCACAGGTTTAATCACAAGCTGACATCGGTTAGAGAACTATTGGGAAACCACTAGGGAGTACTGGACATCTGTTTCGTCCATCTTCTTTGTAGCTGTTCATCAGTACACACCTACCACGGTTCGATTTCAGAACCTTTCAGTTACAAGGCAAGTTCATGGACCATTCAGCTACTGAGACCTGATCCACAGGCCCATGAACTCTAACTTCTGCTATTTCGCGATGTATATATATCACAACCGTTAGCCAATTTCGTACGTGACTGACTTGGTGAACCCCGCTGGTTACGAATTCTAACTATAGCTACAGGTAACTTCCTGTATACAGCCAGTCACTAGTGTGCATTCGTAGATTAATTATCAGCTATTGGATTGCAGGGATCTGGTTGGTTACAGCTTTAATCCAGAGGAAATATCACTTTATTCTTCAGCATATTTTGAATGGTGGCATATACTACTTATTAATATGAGTAGATGCAAGCCATTCAGGTCAACCAGTAATTCTGTCTAGCCAGATTGAACTAACCTAATGCACTACTAGACTAATATTTGACGTGAGTGATTCCCAACTACTCTTATCAATCAACTGCACAAATCATCCTATAATTATGCTGGCTTTCTTGACTGTCATTTAACGTATCAAATAGATCGTACTTTGAGACATGAATATTTTGAATTTCCATAGGATGCCATGGTCATCTCCACACCACTAACTGTCCAGTCTGTAAACTGACAGTTTCATTCAGCAAACATTATACGCCAACTTATTATTCGAAAGTACACAAAGCCTAGTTGATTACCTTGTTGAAAAGAATACAATTTTTTTCTGCAACCATCTCTTTACTGTAGTATTTTTGCACTGATCATACGGGTTATATTCTGCTGTTTACAGATGTATGTATATTCGTTGATGATCATTGTACGATGCAGGTTTGTTGATACTTGTATGAGTCAGTGTGAAAACCGATAAAAAACACAATGGCGGGAAATTCGGCAGCCATGAGGGGGAAGGACCGGGTTAAATTCCGGTCGACTTGTTGCTAAACCTAGTCTAGTTAACCACCTGATAGTAGAAACCTAGTAAAGTGGTAAGGTCGGGTAAGAGGCAAGCGAACCCATCCTGTGAAAACAGCATCACCACTATTGAAACTGAAAAGCTTGAGTCCCTGTGTTACACTCAGAATAAAAGGAATAAAAAACAGTAGAACGTTTTGATTGGTTGGAGGATTTTGTCGCGAGCTCGAACCAAGGATCTTCTTGTTACAAGGCAAGCTCGTAGACCACTGAGCCACTGGGACCCGATCCATTGGCCAGTACATGAATTCCATCTTCTTCCAATTCACGACATGGTGCAACCGCTAGCCAATGTCTTGTTTGATTAGTAATTATCCTCAACCTCGACCTACTGTACCTCGCCGGTCACGACTTCTCACTAGAACCCTATGTAACTGCCTAAATAGGGCCACTGAACTCACTTTTTAACCATAAGGCCTTGGGTTCGAACCCTGGTGGGTGTGTACTGATGAAGAGTCCCAAAATATTACTAAACAGCCACCCAGCACTCACTGGTGGTTTACAAATGGTTTTCCAACCAATGTCAGCTCGCAACAAAATCCTCAAACCAATCAAAAAAAATCCCTGCAAACCAATACCTCAGAACTTCTTGAACTTACCTAGTCACAATAGCAAAGTTGGGCGGTTCAACACAAACACCCATAAACAGAGCAATATTTTCATGTCTAGTCATCATTAATCTTGTAACATCTTGCCAAAATCTTCGTCTTTCTAAACGGCTTAAATTTTCAAAGATATGTACATCAACTTCACCGTGCCAATAACCTCTGCAAAAAGGAAACAAAAAAATAAACAATCCAGTTAGGATTAAAAACGATAATCAGTGTTGGTTGATACTTTTGATATGAGTTAATCTGGCGGGCATTAATAATAATTCTGAGACTATGATTCGACAAGCAAAAGTCAATAAGTAACTTGTCTGAAGACCATTACTAATTTCTAATCGCTTCTGACAATACATTTCACACAAATTAACACAGAAGACACTTATCTGGGCTGGTCAAATTTGAAACAAATCAAGTGCCTACAAGACAACTCTTGAAAATAATTCTGATGCTCTCCGGTGACTAGTTACAAGACGAAGTTGTCTGGTGTTCTGATGAGAAGTGGTAATTAGCGGAGTCTACCGGGTCAGGCGTGGACATTAGATGGTGGTCGCGCTAAAAGTCATGAACTCCTAAACGTCAGAATCCATGGACCGTTTGATCGTGTCCCAGTGGATGTGCATGGCCTATAAGCCTGCCTTGAAAGCCGGGAGCCCCGGTTTCGAAACTTGGTGAGTAAAAAGTTCCAAAGTAGGGCAAGATAGCTTTCCAGTACTCCCCGATGACATTCCAGTGGTTCCCTAACTGACAAAAATCCCATATCAAACTTCAAATAAACTGAATTTCTACGAACTGACCCTTGATAATTTAACTGGTTACGAAAATTGGAGCCCCATTGTTGTCTAGCAGCATCATAGGAATTTTCGCTTCAGCTAACTAGTTTAAATTTTTAAAGATCTGTTTTATGCAGTTTTAGCCACTGCTTATCAAAAGGATATTATGATTATTATTATTGTAGTATATGCTACTGACAAGATTTATCAGTAGTATGTAAAGAGCATTGCCTCAGCTGCAGGCAGTCGGAACGAACGAGGATGTCAAATCGAGCGAGAATCGGGAAGGCGAGAAACACATCAACATCATCAACCTGAAATCAATCTGGAAATCTTCGTCACTCAGCCAGGATCAACAACAAAATTCAGTCGGATTTTCAATACAAACGTCAAGTCAGTCAGTTCTTCTATACGGATCGGATCAGAAACTTGGCGAGTGGGTCACAAAGAATATTTCCAACAGCCTGTTGCAGACGTTACCTTTATCAACAACTGTCTTTTCTGGATCTATACTGAAGATCAGATGGCCGGGCCGGGAGGCCGGAAAGAATCACCAACAAGAAACTATGACTTGGGACAAACAAACAAACAAAACATGAACCAATCGCCAACCAACAAATATGTACGAGAAAGTGGAGGTCAATGGATTGGACACTGGCTCGCTGAGGAGGCCGCTGGGTGACATGGCGCGTGAGTCAGGCCATTGCTTGAGTGGAACCAGGCCGAAAGGGAAGCGGCGAGTGGAACGTCCATGGGCGGGTGACATGGAGGAGATCGTGTGAAGAGGAGTTGAAACAGACAGTGTGGACTAACATGGATGCAGGTGAAAATTACAGCAGAAGGAAGACAGAAGTGGCAAGTGGAGACGTGTAGTTGAAGCCCTATGTTCCACTAGGAACCCAAGGGAACAGTAGTAATAATAATAATAATAATATAAAGAGACGTTGATCGTCATACAAATATCAAATAGCAGAGAGATAGATTTGACGTCAAATAAAATAGAGCAAATGAACCAGCGTTTCAGTAAAACGTATGAGACACGAAAAGAAGACAACTAAACACAATATTAAGGATAAAAGCAGTACTGCACGGAAGATCTATGAGAATGATGATTTCCAGATAAGGTGTACATAATTTCCCTATATGTGTATTATATTATTATTATTGCTCCCTTGGGTTCCTAGTGGAACATAGGGCTTCAACTTCACGTCCCAATTTTCTTCTGTCTTCTGCTATACTTTTCGCCTGTATCCATGTTAATCCATCTTCTTTCAACTTCTCTTCACACGATCTCCTCCATGTCACTCCTTGACGTCCCACACGCCGCTTCCCTTTCGGGTTCCACTCGAGGGCTTGGCGCGCGATGTCACCCAGCAGTCTCCTCAGCGAGTGTCTGATCCATCTCCACTTTCTCCTGCATATTTGTTGGGCGATTGGTTCTTGCATTGTTTGTTCCCATAATTCCTTGTTGGTGAATCTTTCCGGTCCCATCTGATCTTCAGTATTGAGCGAAGACAGTTCTTAATAAAGGTCTGCAGTCTTTTGGAAATATTCTTTGTGACTCACTCGCCAAGTTTCTGATCCGTATAGAAGAACTGACTGACTTGACGTTTGTATTGAAAATCCGAATTTTGTTGTTGATCCTGGCTGAGTGACGAAGATTTCCAGATTGATTTCAGGTTGATGATGTTGATGTGTTTCTCGCCTTCCCGATTCTCGCTCGATTTGACATCCTCGTTCGTTCCGACTGCCTGCAGCTGAGAGAATGCTCCTTAGATAAGTGAATGAATGAAGTAACCTCTTTCAAATCCCTCCCGTTGATGGTGATTGACGCTAGATGTTACTGCTGTTGTTGTTGTTGTTGGTAGGTTGGTTATTTTCATAACCTCGGTCTTGTCTATGTTCACCTGGAGTCCTGTCTTCACTGTCTGCTTCTTCAACCAGTTTGTCGTTTCTCTCTTGTAAGTCTTCGATTTTGTGTGACTTCAAACATAAATCATCCACGCGCGAAATCCAGGTCTTCTAGGTTCTTCACGTCGGTCCAGGATATTCCTGTCTTCTCGTTTCCCACAGTCTGACGCATAATCCAGTTCACCCCAATTAGGAATATATGTGTATACTAAATTGCAAATGTGAACGTTCCGTAACGAAGTCTCTTGTCCTCTCCCCTACACTATTATTTAATTCGTTCAACTATATGCTTTCAGACTATGTCGAAGTGATATTTTTCGAGAACAAAGAGATCTGGTTGAATGACTCAGCATTTCGAAGTGAATACGCATCGTTTAGTTATAATGAGAAGAAATCAATACTAGAATGAAGTCAGGTATAAAAACCTTAGTAATAATGTAACGCAGGTGAATTACACTGCACTAGGGAAATAAGCCTTTGTCGTTAGATAATAAAACCATTTATGAAACAATTTCTACGGTATTACGATTGGATAAAAACCCTTTAGATACGTGTCGGGGAATTTATGCAGACATGTTTGGAAGGAAATATACTAATTTTTTAAGCCATAAGGTGTGATTTATTGTGGTTTGAAATTGTGGCTTTTTTCGTCTACTATATCGAATATTGAACCCCATATGTTACTCGGTTAATGGAAGAGAGAAATAAATAATTAGTCTTCATAGTGGGGGATTTTTGAACATGAACAGTTAGCAAAACTATTGTTCGTTTATTAAATGTATATGTATGTATATGTATTGGACCGAGATGCTTCAGTGAGAATAATTTCAGACGTTTAGGTCAAGTCGATTGATTTTGACCAGATGAGAAAATCAGTTTTCTTTAATGTACACTTCATTACTACAAGTAAAGTAACTATTACTGTTATTTTCTTACAGGTTTGGTCGCAAGGTGACATTATAACTAAGGAACCATTGGAAAACGAAGGATTATATGAAAGATGTTTCGCCTCAATTCGAAACTCCTCGTCAGCATTCGCCTACTGGGACATAACTCAATGATTGATGAATTCCAACTTCTACTACCTTCTACCACGTAGAGCAACAGACAGCCAATGTCATAGGCGAGTAAATGCTCTCCTGCTTGATTTGGTGAACCTCTCTGGTTACGAATTCTCACTGAAATTCGAGGTAACTTCTTGCATGGAGCTGGTCGCTAGTGAGAGTCCGATTAGTTTTCAGGTGTTGTTTTGCAGAAATTCGATTGGTTGCGGGTTCGATCATGAGTTGACATCAGTTGGAGAACCTTTGGGAAACCAGAGAGTATGGCTACACAGCTGTTTTGTCCCAGTTTGAGACTCTTCGGTAGTACGCACCCCCAGGGTTTGAACCTAGTACCTTATCTTAATTCATTCCTTGTAATCCGAGTGAAACACACTGCCTGAAGCTGTGAAGTCTCACTTGTGGTGGTATTGTTTTTCAAGGGTGAGGTTTCTACCCTAAAGCCTAACATTCCCTCTTTTAATGGCTAATGAAATGGACTAGGTTTTGGAGTGAGTCAACCAGGAATCGAACTCGAACCTCCCAAGTGGTTGACGAGCATTCTACTATTTAACCACAGATGTACATTACTAGTTAAGAGAATAATATAAGGATGACAATGTAATACTAAACATCACTGACTGACAGTCCATTCAATAATAAACTTGATAATTTTACGAATTCCAAATTGAAATCATTCAGAATTATTCTAATATTCTTTTATCTTTATGTACACTGTGAGTGAATGAGTGAGTGACCAGTCGTTTTGAGATCAGTGTGAATACAAGTTTAATTTTAGTGCATCCCTTTTTGCTATATTAATCCTAATACCTGAAAATCAGCTCCAATTTTCTTTCTATCGTGTTTATAAATTTGCGTCGGCGGTTCAGCTACATGAATGCTCACCAGTTACGCAAGTTATCTGGGTTCGATTCCTGACCGATCAACTCCCAAACATCGCCTGCTTTATCAGCCATTAATAAGCCCACAAAAGGGGGAAGACTGGCCATGAGGCTAGAAGTAGTACGCCGTGAAAATAGCACCACTCCTGAAACTTCAATGATTTTGAGGCCGTATGTTTCACTTCGAACTCAAAGGAATGGAAAAAGCTATATAAATCAAACCAATGCACATTTATAGTGCATACCAAGTTCCTCCCACTTGTATCGACCTTGTTCACGTTAGGTTTCAAACTCTTCACGACTTCATCAAGCGTCAATATCAGTTAGAGAAGTATTGAAAACCAGAGAACACTGGTCAACTGTTTCATCTTTTAGTTACAGGATTTCATCATGAGCTGCCATTGGTTAAATAACCATTGGAAGACCATCAAGGAGTACTGGACAGCTGTTTCCATCGTCCTAATCTGGGACTCTTCAGCAGTACGCACCCACACCGCGGGTTTTGGAACCCAGGACCTTCTGGTTACAAGACGAGC